AGCAGCAGGCTTGAGGAAAGGCCGTTAATATTTCCAAAGGGATAAAGAGAGTCCACAGTCCAGAACAAGTAATACTGTGAAAGCAGTTATCTATTTTGTTATTAAATGTTTTACAAGCGTTTACCTTAACCTGGCTTGAAACAAAGATATGATATGTAGAAGATGAGCTAACAGTTCATTTTTCTGGGTGAATCTTAAAAATGAGGCACTAGAATATACAGAATGCCAAGATTCCTAATAATAACAGTTAAATACATAATAATAATAAATAACAACAACAACAGAAAAATCTCCAAAGTGTCTATCTAAATAATATCATGGTATACCTCTGCTGAGTGATGTGGACCTGTTTAGGAGCTGCTTATGTGGGAATCTTTGTGAAAGCACTGTCTTCCAGTAACCAATGTTAACTAGTTCCTCGGCACTTGCTGGCTATTAGAAAAAGTGTCTGAAATCTGAGGGAGTTCTAAGAATTTGAAACACCATCCACCTACTGAAATCCCTTTCTTTCTTTTCTTAAGGCCTACCTCGGCTTCTTAGGAAGATGGTAGATATCTAACGCAAATTCTCAATTTTAGGCTGTTAGCAACTCCCTGGAGATGTTGTAGACTGCTATCATTCTTCTCAATATAGGTATTTGCAGTTTGTCAACAGTATTGATGCCCAAATGTCCCTCAAATACCTGGCTCAGTTTATTATGAAGTATCTACACAATGAGGTTAGTTCCCAAAATATTTTATTCCCAATACCACTTATCAAAGGGGTGTCATGTGGCCATAGGTATGTAGATGAAGCATGTAATTCAGGATGTGATAATGGATCCTGACATTGCCGAAGCTGAATATTTTTGCCCTGTTTATCTTTACTATGTCCTTATCATAGGTATTAGCTATTAGGTTATTCTAATTGGAGACAAACTCCCAGTTTATGTGAAATTCTTCTTACCATAAGAAGACTATTGATTCATTCTATGCTAAGCCTGACACTTTCTTTTTTTTTTTAATTTTTAACTCCACAAATGCGTTCAACTGAACAAGTGAAAAGGATTGAATAAAATGTCCTCCAGTTTTTTTCCTCTAGCTTCTGGCATCATTTCACGATCCATCTTGACCATTAAGACTCTCATGGGAATAAGAAGAAAGGCAACGGCAAGTGTCTAAGAAAACAAATGAACACGAGGACTTCCATTAGACACAAGCTAGTGTCAATGGGAGTGGCTGAAAAATGACAAAAAATGCAAATAATTTTGCTTTGCTTTGTTTCACAAGTATTGCAAAACTGAGCAAAAATTCTAGATCATTAGTTTTTTTTCTTCACTCCTTACTCAGGCAAAACCTTTGGTGGCATCTGTGTTGAGTCCTTCCTGAGTGAGATTTCTGGAATTTAGTCCTTGAATGATGTCAATGAAAGAAAAATAATTAATGGGAAAGAAAGTAGAAGTACTGAAGATGGTGCCAATACACTAACTATACACTTAAGTTTACACTACCTGTTCATTTAAGCACAAGATGATACAGAATAAGGTCGGGGAAATCATCCTACATGCATCCCCAAAGAAATCTGATATATCCAACGACAGCAGAGCCCTGTTTATTCAAAATACTTTTGGAACATCAAAACATTTGGATAAACAGGGCTTCAAATAATTGAGGGAGTTATTGTATAAGTAATTCACACCAGGGGGACATAACCTAGATTCAAAGGAGTGAGTTTCAGATCAAAGGGGTACAGATAAATGGGATTTTGCTCTATATGAACAAATAAAATAAACAGCATTTGATTATTCAGGAATCAAGAAGTGTCCAAACATTTTTTTCAAAAAGAGTTTAGGATGAAAGGTCCAAATTGTTGCAATAGGCTGTGCAGAATAATATTTCAGTGGAATCAAAATAACAAATACATAGATGAGACCAAAAAGTTGGGGGGCTTGGCTTTGTGCGTGTGCGGTGGGTTTTTTTGTTTGTTTGGATTTTTTGTGCTTTGTTTTTGTTTTCATTTTTTTTAAACTCACTGATCTTCCAGTCAGAATCATATGAACTGTAACAAGTTTTTTGATCTTATTCCAGCCGCGGCACTGACACATATTTTGTGGTGGATGGTGGGCATTCATAACATCTGTGGCTGTTATTCATTTTCCCCAATGCCCAATGGAAGCAAACTGTAAAACATGCAAGTTGGATCTTGGATGGACAATATTGCCTGATTGCTCATCTTTCTATTAATATCATGACCCAGATATGGTTTATCTACATACAGACATCACAATCACCTATTAAATACCCTTTAAAATACAGATCTTGGAATTTAAAAAGATGTTAAGATCTGTCCTGATACTCACTCCCTGCATTGCTAATATGGTGGTGTAGATAATTTGTTATATTAGACAAATAAACAGTCTTTTCCATTCCTGTAATCCAGTATTGCCCCTTGCTGTCTGCGTAGGGACCTTTTAATAGTAGGGGTGGCAGGGGAGACACAGACTCAACATTTAAAGGGCAGTTAAATGTCTGAAAACGTGACACATTTGGACTCCCTCAACACTTAATTTCTGCAGCCAAGAGCCCAGTCAGGGGAATACTTTTCCCACCATGATACGTCACCTCAAACAGCCCCATCCTGGCTTGTTAGCCAAAGGGAAAAGAGGGTTCCCGAGGGATGGTGTGTGTGGAAGATAGCTTCTGCCTCACGTTTCAGAGGCGTTTTTTCAACCGTCTTGCAAGACGTACCAAATCATCCCGTTGAATCCATCATGATGTTTCTGGGCCTCGTAGGTGAGTTTTTGAGCCCACGGGTCTGCCAGTGCTGCCAGGTCTGAGTCCTGTGCCACACCTACAGCAGGTTCACTTCACACCATGGACAAGCAGTGATCAGCCGTCGGGCAGGTCTCGTAGGCTTGTCAGCCGCCCATTTAGCCGTCGGTCCTAACACCCTAACCTCTGCCTCTCCACAGGCTGTCCTAACAGCATAACCCACGCAGAGTTCCCCACCCCAGCCCTAGACACCCCCTTCCCCCCCGCCGCCTTTTGGCGGGAAGAGAGGTGCCGCGCCGCCGCCATGTCACCGTGGCTGCCAGCAGGGCCCGCTGCCTCCTCTCTCCTCCCCCCCTCCGGTCCCGCGGCTCTACCGGGGGCTGCAGGGCGGAGGAGAGGGTAGCACGGCGTGGGGAAGAGTCGCTCCGGTTGCTGGTACCGTTTTACCCGGCTGCTTTTCCTCCCTCCTCGGTGAGGGGCTGTGGGCTCAGGTGCGTGAGGCGACGCCCCAGGGCTCTGAGGGGAGAGGGAGAGAGGTGGGAGTGTGAGGGGGAGCAAGGATTAAGGAGGAGCAGCAGTTGGGCTTGTGGTAAGGTGGGCGAAGGAAAATGCTTAATGAAAGATTTAGGGGAGGGAGCTTGGAGATGCCTTTCGTAGTAGGGGAGGACAGTAAACACCTGTGGGGGCTGGAGGGGGCAGAGGTTGCCGTTGGGAAAAGGGAGAAGCTGTCCTCTCGCCAGAGAAGGAGTCATAGTGGGTGGTCACAGAGGGTGAGGTCCGGAGGGGGAGGCAGAGGAATGAGGACAGTTTGGGGTGTTTTGGAGTTTCTGGCAGGTTGCTGCAGTGGCACAGTCTGGAAGTGAGTAAAGATGAACCATAAAGAGCAAAACAGGGGATGATCAAAGCAAGTGTTGGGGTTTTGTTTCCTGAGGAGGCAGGAGGATACCTTCAAATTGGTTTAAAGGTTTCAGTCCACTGGCCTGGTTTCCTCCTGCCTCCTCATCACGTTACTCCTCTGCAACCTGTTGGGTAGAGTTGTGTTATCTGTCATACAGGTAAAGACCCAATTTCTAGTTTTATTCCAATTCACATCAGGAGCTGCTGTCTGTAGCTACAGCTATTAAAAAAGGTAAATTTCCCTCCTTAAAAAAAAAGCAACAAACAAACCTGAAATAATCTTTTCTCGCAACGAGCAACAGATAATGGTAAGGCTTGTTCAAATTTCGCCCTTTCTTTACTCTCACTTTCTTTTACAGGCTTGTCAAGGCTTCCATCTCTGAAGAATCATTGCTGTGTGATATGTCTCAGTTGCAATTTGGTAAGAATATCTTGACCAGTTTTCTGTCTGGAGTGGAGCAGAGAAGAGAAGGTAAAAATCAAACTTGTGTGTGGTAATGGTTTCAGCTTGATAGCCCTGGAGTCTGGCTGAAACTGTTGTACAGTCCCGAATCCAGAAAATACATAGGTTTGTGCCTAACTGGAAGCATATCTGCAGAATCTTTTCTTTCATCCAACTCCTTAAGCTCTGAAGGTTAAACACAGGCATAAGTACTGGGAAAAAAAACAGTGAAAGTTGTTTTACGTTGCTAGTATGGGGCCTGTGGATCTGGGAATCAGTTCCTATTGCTATCTTATCCCTGGATTTTCTGCTGTATTTCTAATTAAGGTAGTGGCCATGCAATTTTTGATCTGTTCATCTAAGGACCTGAAGTCTATTTGTTCCCATCAAACACCAAAGCAGGTCTGTCACTGAGTTCAGTGGTTGCAGGATTTGCCCTGTCTTTTTCCCTATCTTTTTTTCAGTTCAACACCACCCCCCCACCCCCGGCTCTCTTTAAAGCGTAAAACACACAGAAGATGTAGGTCCTCCAGAATCAATGAATTTCTCAAGCTCATTTTCAGAAGTAGTTTTTCTTTTCCTTTCCTATTTCCTGCCACAATCTCAGCCTTTCTTTAATACCCTGGAAGTACAGCTGCATAGGGACTATGATTTGGGCCGGGGGGGGGAATGTATGTTTGGGTCTTAGAATAATATACACATTAAACTATGTTTAATTGTGCCTTATCAATAGGCGGATAAACTTAGGTGTTTGCTGTTGCCATTGCTCATGATGCTCTGTAGCAGGCTGAGGCAGTAACTGCTGCTGATGGAAAAGAAAATGTAGTGGAAGGAGGAGGGGAGAAGGAGGTGGGAGACGAGGGGATTGGCTGCTTTTAATGTCAATCACAGCTGCGGCCCCCAGCTCTTCCGCTGCTCTAGCTCTGGCTCTCCCTTGAACAGCTCCTAGAGAGAACAAGGCGTGCGGAGCTCAGATCACCAGCATCATGCTCCTCGGGCTTGGATCGTAGATCCCCCTCTTTGAAGATTAAAATAACTCCTTCGTCCATCAGCGTCCCAGGCAGACCCAGCGAGGAAACACGCACGTGAGAGAGAGAGAGGAAAGAAAGAGGAGGAAGAGAAAAATCTGCAACCAAGTGGACTAAAGCAAAGAGAAAGAGTGCTTTGCTTGCACAGCTGCAAAGTGGGAATTTAAAGAACCTGCAGAGAGAAATTCCGGCTCATCAGCACATACACATTGCAGAATTACAGATCCAGGTAGAAATGACATCAACGGGGAAAGAAGGCAGCGGAGCTCAACATGCACAATATGTTGGACCCTATCGTTTGGAGAAAACCCTAGGAAAAGGACAGACAGGTTGGTTCTTTTGCAGCAGCACTGGCGCTAGGGGGAAGGTGCTGTAACAGCCAGTGAGGTGTTGGGGATGGGATATTTGAGGGTTCAGGTTTTCCTATTTGCTGTTTTAGTGGAGATAACATTCACAGGCGATTTTTACCTTTATTTTTAGTTTTTATTTTAATTCTTCCTCTTCTTCCCTTTTTTTTTAAAAAAAAAAAAAGAAAAAAAAAGCCCAGGATGCTTTATGTTCTTTACTCCTGCTAATGGGTGTTGTTCTGATGACAGCCAGGGTGCGTGCAGAGGAAAAAATAGATGATATGCTGGTGGTGAATTTTCACATCAATTTCTTCACTGCCCTACTTATGAGCATTTTCTTTTTAATCAAATTATATTGAAATGAAAGGTTCACAGCCTGTAGTACCAAGGAGGTGGTGGTGGTGGTAGTGGGGGAGTCACCAGCAGTATTTCATGACATCATGATTGAAAAGGGTGTAGTCCTTAAGGTGCAGTTGGGGGGTGGAAATATGTACAGTATGTCTGTGGCACTGACTGCTGTGGGTATTTAGCAAATATGGATGGATGGGCTGGTGGTTTTTGTGGGTAGGGTCTGAAATAAAAGAAAAATAGAGGATCTGTAGCAGAATTCATTCTGATTATGCTGTGTTTTTGTAGGAGGGATTGGGAGGGGGAGGGGATGTTATTTAATTATTTTTCTTAAAGCTTGTTTATGAAACTCGCCCCCAGCAGATTTTCCTGAATGGAACAATGGTAAGAAATATTAAAAAGAGGAAACCGAGTGGAGGGAATTAGAGAGCAGGTGCTTCTCCCCTACGTGACATAATTAGATCCCTTAAACGCGTTCAAGATCTGGACTTGCTTGCTTGGGTAGCACATTCACTTCAAGGGCAGGGGAGCATTAATTGGAAGAAAAACCCTTAAAAAGAAGCCCAAATGTTTTCCTTATTTAGGTTTTTTTTTTTTTTTTTTTTTAGTAACAGGTGCAATAAGTGATGGGATCTGTCAAATTCATTGGGTTGGGAGCCCCCCCAAAAGTGGATTGAAACTCGAGATTATAATTTAGGGAAAGGGGAAGATCAGCTATAGGGGGGCTTATTTGGGCATGTGGGTGTTAAGTGTTGTTCATTATGGTGGGACAATAAAACATGATGCATTGTGGTGTAATTTTTTTTTTTTTTTTTATAACCCAGCCGAGCTTTGCCCATCTGTTGTCTAAAGGATTTAATAGGCGTTTCCATCCCCAGCTGCTGCCTCTGCTCTGCCTGCTTCCTCGCTGCCCTGCGTGGCAGCAGCTCTGCAGTCCGCAATTTTCTTAGGGACACAGTCAAAATCCAGATCTTTCTCTGTAAGAAGCAATGCTCTTCTGAGATGATTGATTATAACCTCCCACCCCCCCATCCTTCCCCTCCTCTTCACAACCCCATAGCAACCGTTCAGAGACATGGATGAAGATGACATTGTCTTCCAGTGAAAGTGACTTTTATTTATATTTCATTTTTTTCCAAATCTCTTCAGTGTATCAGCTGCTAAAGGTAGCTCTCTGTCACTCTTTTGGTTACCACCTTTATTCTTTGCATAGCTCAATAAGCCCTTACTTATGCAGCTGTATTTTTACTAATATCTGTTTTGATAATGATAGTGAAAATACCAAAAAATTGCAGTGTATTGGTAATAAAACTGCCTTGTTTCTGGTAATCCTTTTCTGGATACTCCAGGTGATCAAAGAGCCAGCTGTAGATGACAAATTAATTTTTGTCTTCATCACCATTTCCTTTTTTCTCTCTCCCACCTTCTCAGCACTCCTCCCTCCCATTTAAATACAATTGTGTCTGAGATTCCTGAAAATACAGCTGCATTAACCTTTTGCTCCATGTCTCATAGCCTGACGTTGTGGTCCTAAAGGGTTATCTGCAGCTTTGGTTATTTTTTTCCTCTCTGCTAATCTTCCTATCTTCCTCCTAAGTGATTAGAGATGTGGGGGTGGAGGGAGAAGAAGAGGATGTATTTAGAGGCTTGCTGCTGTTGGCCTCTGCAGTTATTCAACCAGCTGGACAAGGGTGAAAGTTTCCTTTTGCAGTTTTACCATATAACTGATCTTTATAGATAAGTCTCTGCTGTTTGCACACATGAATGCACATAAAATGCACAATGCGTGGTGTCATAGAAGCTGGAGGTGGGGGGAAGAGGAAGAGAAATCTTGAAAGTAGCTGATGTCAGTATATGTCTTCCTTGCTATACCCGCCTTGGATTAACAGAATAACGCACTGAGGTGAAACCTAACTCGGTATTAAATGAACATGACAAAATACGGAAAGATGCCTTCTAGTCTTCTCGCATTTTCTGTGCTAATCACATTTGGGAGCATGCAGAATGGCATGAACACTGTGTGGTACGTAGCTAGTCCTCATCCTGCTTGTTTTGGAGGGTAAGCAGGCAACCTGCAGCATTTTAGGGAGAGGACAGCAAGCGCAGTATGATTAAATCAGGGCCTGATTTAAAATACTATGTTATCATGGTGTGTAACTTTGAATTTGGGTTGCAGTGGCATACGGCTGAAGAAAATAGTTTTTGTAATCATTCCTTTAGCACTTGATTTTGTAGGAAGATTAGGAGGTAATGGCTTGGAGTACTTTTTTTTTTTTATCTAAGGGAATGGCAAAGAGTGAGAAGTAAAATCTGACAACACGTAATGATGAATGGAAAGAAAGTGTAAGTTGTGTTGCAAAGTCCTATCCATTTTGCGGTCATCTTCATACCCATCATTTTTTATTTTGTATAAAAAAAATCTTGACTCTGTAAAGTTATTTCAGATAGGCGCGTCTAGCTTTGCTCCCAGATACATTAATATTATACAAATGTATTAATTACTTTTAGCTGCTTGTACTGAGATCAAGAGAAGGGGGATTTGGGAAGGAGCGTGTGCTCATAGTTCAGGGCAGACTTAGAAAGGGTACCATGGAGGGAGAACTTAATAGTAAGTAGAACTCTCAATGGTGCTTTCTCCGTTAGTTTCTCACTGATTGCCACCTTAATAACTGAGAAAAAAGTGTTTACCACCAGCAGCATACTGGTCACTGCAAACAGGTCCAGTTGCTGCATCTGTGACATTGGTGGAACCTGGTGACATCTGGCTGCGGGTGGGCAAACCTGACAGGGAAAAGCCTTAAGTTCAAATTGGTGGGTAACAACCGTTGGTGAAAGTGTTGATTAGAATTCAAAATTGGGTATGCAAAATTTGTCCTGAGCGGCCTTCTGTGCTGGTGCGTCAAGCTTGCTGAGGGTAACTGATGCCACAAAGAGAGGATTAGGGCCTCTTAGTTGGAGAAGTTGAAAAAGGGCTACACAGGGCACTTCTGAAAAATGTCTGTGCTTAGCTCTTTGCTGGTAGTGGGAATGATAGAGGAATGAAGGAAAATTATTTTAAATAAAGTAGCATATGAATTTATTGTATAATTTGAATACTGTAGTAAGATGGTTTGCTTTTGTAATAGGTTGAATTCAGAGCATGCCTTGTCTATTGCAGCTGGAGGAATAGCTCATGGAATCTGATTTTGCAAGAATACAAGAAGCAGCATAATTTTAATTTGTACTCAAAAAATTATTTTATAGAACTGTCAGTGTAAAGGATCATTACTGTATATACGGGTGTATGGGGAAAGGTTGGTTTATGTAAGTTTCATGATACATTCTTCTACAGTTAATTATAGGAGGTTTTCATTGTAATTAACAGTAATGAGCAAAGGGTGTGTGTTGTGTTACAATAAGACATGTGGAAACGGTGTGCCTTGAGGAAACCCCAGTCATACCTGATCATGAAACACTGTTTTAGATTAAATAGAGGATTTTATCTGTTTGCCACTAATTCTGTGTGAAATCAGCTTATTGCATATTCCTTGCCTTTTTTTTTTTTAAATCCCACAAATATCTTTGTTCGTATGTTTCTTTTGGCCTCGTTAACCCCTATTCCACCCTTGAAACTCTTAAGAGTAATTCACATTGACTGTAGTGAATATTTATTAATGAGTGCAAAGATGAGGAACTGAAGTATTTCTTGTGAAGGGCTTCAGTGTTTCAGAGGGTTTTCATGTGTTTTCATTTGACAGTCAGGCTTCAGCATCATTGTTTGCTATGGCATCAGTTCAATGTCCAGTTGAAATTTCCAAAACACTGCCTTGTCTAAAAGCAATAAGACATTGGCTCTATTCACTTTGAGATAAACTAGATGAAAAATTTAATGGTACTGATCCGTTTTGTCTTGTTCCTTTCTTTCTCTTTTAAGCCCAGTTCTGCAGATATGCAATACAAAGAATCCTGCTTGAAACTCATGGCACTTGGACCTTCACAAATAGTGTAGGGGGTCCCTTTTCTGCATCGTATACCATATAACTTACAGCTATTTTGGACTATAATATGTTAATTATATATGAGCCATCAGTGAGATGTTCAGCAGTATGCTATTGGGTTATGTAAGAACAGAAATCAGTAAATTTGGGTCTTAGCAAATGTAATAGCCTGTTATTCAGTGGGGGATTAAAGAGGATGGTTTTTACAGCCTTAACCACCTGTTTCCATGACATCGGCAGAAACTGAAATTTGTTAATTTTTTTGTCTCTGTCAAATTTGGTTGAAGTTGAAAGCTTCAGATATGTTTGAGGAGTGTTTGGTAGACAATGTGATTTCAGAGGCCTGGTTTACTTAGTAAGTAGGGTAAGCAAAGTATATCCTTTTCATTCATACTGCTGTATTATTTTTTTTCTTTCCAGTGTGTTGGATCTAAGAGAATCCAAAGAGTACAGCTTTATTCCGTTTAGCTGTCTAGATGAATATATTGTTATAGAGCTGTAAATCATTGTGTTTCCCCCCCCCCCCGGCCTTTTTAAACAAACAAGAAACCATTATATATTCTATTAATGTTTTCATATGTATATTTTACTTTCCTTAAAAAAAGTTTCTTTCAAAAGAGTGAATCCATACCCTTCGTCATGATAGTCTGTGAAGAC